GTTGGGGCTACTGCTGTGGAAGACAAACTGCAGAAAGGGGTGGGCCCTGTCATTCTGTACAGTTGATATTTCTTCTCTTCTACAAATATTCAACCAAATTAATTTTTTTGTTCTCTGCAGGTTCCCCAATGTATTGATAATCTTGCTCAAGCTGGTCTTAAGATCTGGGTGTTGACAGGTGATAAGATGGAAACTGCAATCAACATTGGGTCTGTCTACCACAAATCATTTGACCTTGTGAAATTAATTCCTGTTCTAATAATTAAGGTTTAACTTGTTCAATAATGCCTTTGCAAAATGCATTATGAAACTGTTTTGTTTCTGTGGTACAGATTTGCTTGCAGTTTGCTTCGACAGGGCATGAAGCAGATCTGTATAACTACTCCGGTCACAGATTCTGTAACCACTGATGTCAAACAGGTACCTTTTGTCATTGAGAAAGGGTAAAGGAGTTTACTTTATGGACTTGAGTTTCATCTGATGTTAGGCCTAGTTCTTTTGTTTAACACCCCAGGCCATCAAGGATAACATTTCGAACCAACTCACCAATGCTTCCCAAATGATAAAACTGGAGAAGGATCCTCATGCTGCATTTGCATTAATTATTGATGGGAAAACTCTGACATATACTTTAGAAGATGATATGAAGCACCAATTTTTGGCATTGGCAGTTGATTGTGCATCTGTCATCTGTTGTCGTGTGTCTCCCAAGCAAAAGGCACTGGTAGGAATTTTTGCTTTCAGTTGCGATTTTTTTTGCCACATTTATGCAGGTGCTTATTGGGGTTAAATTTGTGCATGACTACACATGGATCCTCCTGAGCTTGATAGGAAAAATTAGATCCAAGTTAAGTTCAGATGGATCCATGAGTACGGTTGTGCACAGTAGTCATGCAGTTGGTAGCGTTTTCTAATCTTTGTTGATGTATCAACTGTGAAAAATAATCTTGTTAATTGTTTTATGATTTCCACTTTCGTCTTTTGGCGTCAGGTAACAAGGTTAGTGAAACAAGGTACTAGAAAGACTACTTTAGCAATAGGTGATGGCGCAAATGATGTTGGGATGATTCAAGAAGCAGATATTGGTGTTGGAATCAGTGGGGTGGAAGGTATGCAGGTCAGTGGCTTACAGGACTGGTTCTTTAAGCACAATGATGTCATTAAACTATCACCGTGAATGATAGCTTGATTTTAATATTTATTGCAAGTTGCAATGCCATATGTTGTGTTCCAGAAACAAAACCAAATTATAGTTTTATGTTATTTTAATATTTTAAAAATAACATGGTTTAGACAGAGAAAGAAGCTCTTGTGTATTTTTTGCATGTTTTGGCTCTATTTTCGAGCTAGACTATGGACCAGGCTTCTTGTCAATTCTTCCTATTAGCTGTATTGTGATTGGTGCTTATCTAATGCAGTGGAGAACTGGACTTCTCTTTGCATTTTAGTGATTACCTAAAGATTAATTTCTTCTATTAATTGAGAAAAAGGTTAGACTCGCTTTGCTAATAGTTATTTGCAGACTAATTTCTTCTATAAAACGAAGAAAAAGGTGACACTTAATGTGAAACTCATCTAGCACTACGCTACTTTTTAGTCTTTCATTCGTTTTAATATTAATATAGTTATGTTTGAATCCTAATCGTATTTAAAAGTTAAAATGTTTAATGTCATGTGGGCAATGAGTTGCAAGCTATTTGCTTTTGCTGTTCAGTCAGAAAACACAAGCACTGGAAATCTTTATTAACCAACGTTTCTTATCAATTAATTATTATATGCTAATTGTAAGTATTCGCAAACACTAGCTTGGTTCATTGTGACAAGTTTTTGTTCTGATTTCTGAATGTGGGCTGAAATAGGGATTATCAACTATTTAAATGTACACATTTATTGTTGTAGTTCATAGAAGATATTTTGAACTGGCAACTTTGTTTGATTCCAAAATGATGTTTGCATAATTAATCCCACGTAGAATATAGTTTGGTCAGAAACTATAATTGGTCCGTGTACACCCGTTAGTTGTCTTTTTCATACTTGCAAGACAACAAAATGCACATTATGTTTATGTTTGGAATCTTGTAAAATTTCTGCAAGTTGTAGACTCAAACCTGCAACTTTCTTCCAGGCAGTGATGGCTAGTGACTTTGCGATTGCCCAATTTCGATTTCTAGAGAGGCTTCTGGTAGTCCATGGACATTGGTGTTACAAGAGAATCGCACAAATGGTAATTCATTAATGATCATCTTAATCATTAATGTCACATGTCTGAAGCCTTGTCTTCGATTTCTTGTGTGCGATGCATTGCATAGGATAGAGAATCATGTAATAATAGTTTTAGTTTGTATGTTACTATTCCAAATTGGTTCCTGTATTTCTTTTCTAAAGTGTTATGTTAATGCATGCAGATATGTTATTTCTTCTACAAGAATATTGCATTTGGCCTCACCATCTTCTATTTTGAGGCTTTCACAGGCTTCTCTGGTCAATCAGTTTATGATGACTGGTATATGATATTGTTCAATGTTGTTCTGACATCATTACCTGTTATTTCACTCGGTGTTTTTGAACAAGATGTTCCATCAGAAGTTTGTTTACAGGTTTGTTTTCTTGAAATGTCTTCTGTGTTTCTTAGACAGTAGAATAATAGAACTTACCAATGAGCCGGTTGGTTGTGCTTTCCAGTTTCCTGCACTGTATCAACAAGGACCCAGGAATTTATTCTTTGACTGGTATAGAATATTGGGATGGATGGGCAATGGTCTCTATTCTTCACTCATCATCTTCTTTCTCGTCGTCACCATCTTCTATGACCAAGCATTTCGTGGTGATGGCCAGGTAGCTGACATGGCTGTTGTTGGAACCACTATGTTCACTTGCATCGTCTGTACTGTCAACTGTCAGATTGCGTTGACAATGAGCCACTTTACATGGATTCAGCACCTGTTTGTATGGGGAAGCATATCCACTTGGTACATCTTTCTAATATTGTATGGAATGCTTACTCCAGAATATTCCAAGAGTGCCTACCAAATATTGGCTGAAGCTCTTGGTCCTGCGCCTAATTATTGGATAGCAACCATTTTAGTTACTGTTACTTGTAATCTTCCTTATTTTGTCCACATTTCCTACCAAAGATGTTTTTATCCCATGGATCATCACATTATCCAAGAAATTAAGTACTACAAAAAGGATATTGAAGACCAACACATGTGGACAAGGGAGCGTTCTAAAGCCAGACAGGAAACCAAGATTGGTTTCACCGCAAGAGTGGAAGCAAAGATCAGGCAACTGAAGGGAAGGCTGCAGAAGAAGCAATCTTCCATGACTATTACAGCCCCATCGTGACACTATACATAATTTAACAGTTTTGGGTACTTTTAGGGTTGCTCATATTGTTTGATTCAACGGGGTGAATTAAAGTCCCATTCACTACCGAAAAGTATGGAAGTTGCTGCTGTATGTAACATATTTACGTAGAAGTGTCAGTGTGCAATTCTCTTACCACATGGTTATGATTCAATTGACCTTGAAGTGAAACAGCTAAGTTGTACTGTTAGTACTTTTCCCCCCTCTTCTTGAGCTAAGGGTTTTTAATAGTTTTATTTGGTTAGAACATCGAATCCCCAAATTCTCTTCCAAAATGGATGAAGTCCACTGTGTATTCATTATACTATTCAAATTCTTCGCATTGACTGTATTTATCTCATTGGTGGGTGAGGGGAGGTTTAAATTTCTATCATTGAAGAAGTCCTGACAGAAATAAAAGTTGCAGGCATTAATTAAAAACGTCATCGAGAGGCCTAATATGGTCTAATTGACGAAGTCAGTGGTTGAATTGAAAGCTTTTGTGCTGGCAGGCATTCAAATTTCATTGAAACCTACCCCAACCTTACATCCTCAACATACTTGACTTCAACCATTCCTATTTTCCAACTCATTTATAGGCTTATTATATGTTCTTAGACATAAAAGTTTACCTTTAAAATAAGAAAGAGAGGTGGAAGATTTGCAAGATAGGAATTTTTGTGAAAACATTAAAAATGTCAGTAAGAGGCCAAACACATTAATAATTATGCAACTGTAACAATAGAAGAAAACAATCTTCTTTACTTGCATTTACTTTTCCAGAACAGATAGCAAATCATCCCACACATTAATACCAGATGTCCATTGACTTAAACGATGACTAATGTCTCTAGAATAATTTGACTTAGTCAGGTTTAATATTAATAGATCGTCTTTCTCAAACCACTTCTTTTATTCTCATCATAGAATTTGAAATTTTGTTTAAGAAAACGTAAAATAAATTATATTTTTAATAAGCCAATAAATTAACCACTGCTTTTTATTCAACTACCATAAATGTTTGAAAAGTATTTTGAAGAAATTTATTTTAAGAGAATTAACTTATTACTTATTTAATTTCTTTTTATTAAAATAGTTTTTATATTTTGATATTTTTATTTTATCCCCCTTAACTTTCTTTTATTACTTATCTTTAATTTTTAATTTTATAAAAGACATTTTTTAATATAAAACATAATTAAAAAGATATTGAATATTTATTTTAATATTTAAAGAATTATTTTTAATTTTAATGTAGTTTAAATTAAAAAATAATAGTATAACATTAATGTTTCACATCACCTCCTCCATCGTATAAAAGGATATCTAAATTTAATGTTCATCTATTTTTTATTTATTTATTTTTTCCTAAAATCGAGAAATATAGTATTTTTATTTCAATAAAGTAATTGTATAACTTTTTTTTTTCATCTACACAATACACACACATATATAATTATTTAAAAATTAAATAAATATATAACAGAAAAGGAAAAAAAATTATGTTCTCGAAATTCTAAATAGATAGATAATTTTCTTTTTGTTTTAGAATAGGGACAAATATAAGAGGTGGAAATATATATTCCCGAAATGAGAAGAGGAATTAAACGTCCAAAACAACGTCGTTTCATCCTTGCAAAGAAAACAAAAGAGCTGGTAGGTTGAGGAGGGTAAGTAAGCGTGTGACACACAACGATCATTCTCACTCTCTTTGTGTCCGTTTTCTTTTATCCGTTTCTCTTTCCCGATTTTGACCTTGTTTTTTCCTGTTTCCCGATTTTACCCTCTTCTTCTTCTCCCATGACCTACTTCAACTCGTAGCTAGCTACACTCCGCGTTTGCTTTTTCAATTCCAAATTTCAGTTTCCCAAACCTCTTAGGGTTTCGGCCGAATGGAAACTCGAGTTGGGAACAAGTTCCGTCTCGGTCGGAAAATTGGCAGCGGATCCTTCGGAGAGATCTATCTCGGTGCGCTCTGCTTCCACTTGCTTTTCGTTTTTTGCTTATTTACTGCGCGAATTTTCCTATTTCCTTTAATTTGTTTTGCTTATTTTGCTTGTGTTGCTGCAGGAACTAATTTTCAGACGAATGAAGAGGTTGCGATTAAGCTTGTGAGTTTTTGGACCTACGACGTACCCTAATTTGAAAAAAAAAAGTTTAACATATTTGTTTTTTGCTACTCCTGTTTGGTTGCTGAGAAATTTAAGAAGTTGCAGAAGTTAGGAATTGGAGAATTTCAGTGACGTTGTATTGTAGAGTTGAAATTGGAGTAATAGGATATCGAATCTCTTTTCGTTTGTTTTTAGTTTGTTTTCTAACACGGGCCTCATTGGTTAATTTTCGCTAATTAGTGCTTGGAAGTTAAGGTTTTTTGTTTCTTTCTGCTGCAAGATTGAAATTATTGAGTGCGGGGTCGGATGTGTTTAACTGGATGTTTTACTGTTTTATTTTGGTTTTTGATTCAGGAAAGTGTGAAAACCAAGCACCCTCAACTGTTGTATGAGTCGAAGCTGTATAAAATTCTGCAAGGAGGAAGTAGGCTCTCTTCTTGGTGAAATTGTCTTTGTGAAATTTTTATTTGTTGTTTGTTTGTGATGCTCACTCAGCTTAAATGTTTTTGGTTGGCCATTTTTATTTGGCAGATGGGATTCCAAATGTGAAATGGTACGGTGTTGAAGGAGAGTACAACGTGCTCGTGATGGATTTACTTGGCCCTAGTCTTGAGGATTTATTCAACTTCTGTAGTCGGAAATTGTCTCTCAAAACTGTTCTTATGCTTGCTGATCAGATGGTAGGTTTTTCCCTACTGTGGAGACATCTTTTTTAATTCTGACCCACTTTAAGTGATGTTGCTTACACATTTTTAACTGCTTACAGATAAATCGAGTTGAATTTGTTCATTCCAAATCATTTTTACATCGCGACATCAAACCAGACAACTTCCTTATGGGTTTAGGAAGGCGTGCAAATCAAGTATGTAGTTAATTGTTGCTTTTTAATTCTTTATCATGTCGTATTTTTGATGTATCATCTTCGCATCTGCCTCATTTTAGGTGTATATCATTGACTTTGGCCTTGCTAAGAAATATAGAGACACCTCTACACATCAGCATATCCCATACAGGTACTTTACATTTATCTGACTTCATTCACTATCGCTGCACAGTTCAACTTCAAACAGGTTCCAACTTTTAGGGACGCGCATCTACTGTTATGGAAAATCCTTTATCGGGATATTATAAAATTGGTAACTATTTATGTGAGATTTCTTGTTAAACAATAGCAGCTTTGAATTGATGTCATTGAAAGTTGTGAAGCTAATTCGGCTTGCACTGGAACCTTCTATGCTTGTGTTCCAACTATCAATAGCAATGTGTGTCCTTGCAATTTGTGAATGCGTTTCTTTAATCAACAATGACTTGTTTTCTGTTACTTACTCGAGTTTTATGAGTATTTCTCTTCAATGATTTGTTATTAGTCTTTATTTTTTTTATTTCTATATTATCAATTTACATGGTCTCTAAATTTTTTAAATTAATATCTAGATAGAACTTGATTTTTGTGTCTCTGTTGCATTCTGTACTTGCATGATTTTCTGTTGATTTAACTTCCTTCTAATTGCTTGCAGAGAGAACAAGAATTTGACAGGAACTGCTAGGTATGCTAGTATGAATACTCATCTGGGAATTGGTATGCTCTAATGTCTCTTAATCAGTAACCTATCTTATTTCTTTGTGGAAGACAATTTATTTGGACCTGACAATGTCATTTTCATGCTTTTATAGAGCAAAGCCGCAGGGATGATTTAGAGTCACTTGGATATGTTCTTATGTACTTTTTAAGAGGAAGGTCATTAGCCTCTCTCCTTTGTTATTTAATTTTTTATATTTTTATCACGTACTGTTTTTTCATTTGGATGTTCTGCAGTCTGCCTTGGCAGGGATTGAAAGCTGGTACTAAGAAGCAGAAATACGAGAAGATTAGTGAGAAGAAAGTTTCTACTTCTATTGAGGTGTGGTTATGTAGTTAAGAAGGTTTTTTGTTTGATATCACATGTCCATATTTTGGTTCCAAATCATATCTGACTGTGGATTGCTTTTTTGTTAGTCTCTCTGTCGTGGCTATCCCTCAGAATTTGCTTCATACTTCCATTACTGCCGGTCACTGAGGTTTGATGACAAACCAGATTATGCTTATTTGAAAAGACTTCTGCGTGACCTTTTCATTCGTGAAGGTTTGAGCCTTGTTCTTCTATTTATGTTTTATTTTGCGATGTACCATGTTCTGTGCTCCTTGATAAAAAAATATTATAGGGACCAAATGACTGTTTTTATATGCCTTTTTTCGGGCTGTTGTTTACATCTTACACCAGGGTTCCAGTTTGATTATGTCTTTGATTGGACCATTTTGAAATATCAGCAATCTCAAAGTGCCACTGCCCCTGCCCGTGCTATTGTAAGCTCGATAACATGCTATCTCACGGTATTAGCTGATTGATTGTTGAGATTAGGTTAATTTAATGGAATTAACTCTTGCAGGGTCCTGCTGCTGGACCAAGTTCAGGCGTGCCACCACTAGCGGCAAATACTGATGGACAGTTAGGTATGATGTTTCTTTTGGCTCCATATTTCTTATCTATCGTTTATTTACCTTGATTGAGATGTTTACAGACAGACTGTTACAGTGTGGTAACCATTCAATAATCTGTCAGTTATAATGTGACGTTTTTTGTACCTTTTAATTTGTCATTTGACTCAACCTTGTTTTTCTTTTTTGATATGTAACTCTAGCTTATTTTTATGGGGCGTCTTCTTTGTAGGTGGAGAGGATGGTAGGCATAATAATTGGTCTTCATCAGATCCTACTCGTAGGAGAAACCCTGTACCTTTTGCTAATGATGGCGTGTTATCGAGACAAAAGGGCCCAGTTACATATGACTCAACTCAATCTAAAGATGTTATGGTGCGTGTATTCATTTGTGACATGGCTGTTACCTGTGCTGTGATGTCATCATATTTCTTGCAGAAAGTTTAAAGATGATGGGTTCTTTATGCAATAATTTTCAGAATTCTTAAATACATTATATTCTTGTCAAATCATGTTTGATTAAGGGAATTGTTATTTATCAGGAATATGGGTTTGCTTTAGAAGGAAAAAAGAATATGAAACTATTTTTCATTTATCCTAGAGAAAATTACGAAGCTACATTTTTGTTGCATCTTTTTTATTTTGGTCATGACCCAATTACACTGTATCGGCTGTATTGCGTTTATTTACAGATGAAGCACGAAATAAATACGTAATATAATATTCAAAACTTAGCTTTATGTTAGACATTTTATATATCATTCCCTGGACTTAGATTCTTCAGACTTGTATTAGAGTTTTGTGGGGAGAATGTCATTATCCAGTGTATGTGATTCTCGGTAAACTAAATCAATATAGACCCTTTCTTGTTTGTGTTGCTGATCTTTCTTTTTCTGATTGCCTTGTTATTTCAAAATTCTAATCATATTTGATATATCTTACAGGTTGAGGTTATACTAGTTTATCTGTTTATATGCCAATTAGTTTTCGTGTTACTCACGAATATCTGTGCATGGTTTATCAGTTGTCAAGCTCTAATTTTTTCCGGCCAAGTGGATCTGCAAGGCGAGGGGCTGTCTCAGGCAGCCGAGAATCCCGTGATGTAGTTGTTGGCAGTGAGACTGAGGCTTCTCGTCCTCTAACTCTGGATTCAAGTCAGGGAGCACTTCGTAAAATGTCTGTTCCTGGTGCTCAGAGAAGTTCAGCAATCACGTCTTCTGAGCACAACCGTACATCCTCTGGCAGAAACACATCGAATATAAAGAATTTGGAGACAACTCTTAGGGGTATTGAGAGCCTACATTTCAATGAAGAGAGGGTACATTATTAGTAGCTGCCACTCTCGATGATAACCTTTCTTTGTAAATTCTAAAAGGCTTATACTCTTTTTGATGAACTGAGGAGTGGAATGTTGTCTATGCATTGTGTTGAAGAAAAGCTGCGAACTAGTAGGGAAGAATTATGACTTATTCCCCTTAAGTATACAATAAAAAGATATGTGTAGGCAGCTTCCTAACTAAACTGACCTTGTAAAAGGCTTCGTCTGTTCATACGGTTTGTGTCATACTGACAAATGTTTTGCTTCTTCTCATTTGCATCGTTTTCCCTTATTGGTTTGATATTTGGTCATGTATGGTTCTCTTTTAAGCTACACTTTGGGAATAAAGCATATCATATAATTTCATTGATAAACTATTAGTTGGGGAATTATAACATTTCTTGAACAAGATGTCAACCGGCGTTGTCTCGTTTTAATGTTTTTCTGCTGCAACTATAGAAACAACCTCAAATATAAGCTAGTTATATTATTACAATGTATTTAAAGTGCGACTTTTTTTTGTAGTCTGTTATTTGATTGAACTCCAATTTATATAAAATTATTAAGTTCGATGATAATATAATTTGATGAGTCTTGACTCTTCAAATTCCATAAAATATTCCCTATTTAACGCCTATTTTACGTACTAGTCAAGATTTGTGTTGACAGTGTCAAATTACAACTTGTATGTTAATATTTTGTAAAAGTGTCACTTAAAAGGTATAGCATATCATCTTTAAATGGTTGATTGTAAATATAAAATATAAACATGAATATTTATTTATTTACTATGAATTTAATTATATAAAAGTTAATATTGATCTCACATGCTCATGAAGTAGATATTTTTCTTCTGACATGACATCGCCAAGATTCAAATTCTGAAGTGTTGGTTAAGAGATACAAGTCTTCATAATTTATGTCAACCAATGTAGGTAAACAATAGCAGCAAATAACATTTTTCACTATTTTCCACGCAAAAATATTTTCTTGAATGCCGTTTCGTAGCAACTTTGAAATCAAAGCTTCAATGAATTTTCGACAGATGACAATAACAGCCACTCCAATTATAATTGTTAAATATTTGAAAGTCATAAGCAATTAAGATTGAATTGCAAGACAAGTTCTTTGCTTTCCAATTCAAATAAAATAAACAAAATATCAGTGACTTGAACTTACGCGTTTAATTTTAATACACCAGTGTAAATATTGTACATAATCCACTAATTGTATAATACTTTAAATACGTCCTGTGAAGTAATTATCATAAAAATTGACGATTTTTAATAATACATTATTTATAGCATGAGAATTATTCAAACTGCTTATATATTTTAGCCAAATTCTCTTTCACAAGATTATGTATCCAAATAATGAGAGAGAGAGGCATTATAGATAATTCATCATTCCTTAGGCTTCTCACCACCCTAGAAGTGTTTTTCATGGACTCCCACTTGTGGGGCTGTTGGGATCATATAGTTTGAAACTAATTAATCAATATATGTTAAGATATATTGTAATATTGAACCCAACTATTATATTAGGTTGCACTCTTCAATGCAAATTCCATTTTCATTCTCTCATCAAAACTGTGTAAACTTTAGCACACTTTTTCAGTATAGTTTACATAGAAATTGTAGATGCGTAAGTTTTGTCCTAACTCTTCTTGAGATATGTTGATATCACATGCAAGAGTGAAACAGAATGAATAACACAGCCAAATCTCTCTTCAACTAATAAGCTTTCATTTGATACTCCTTCTTTCTTAGTTGAAATTGTATAGTCTGGTTTCCATTCACCTGTACCATAATAGAAAAAAAGCACTGAAATATGACTGGATAAAAGCACAGAATATCTTATAATAGCTGCTAGGGGGACATAGCTTTCAAAACTTTAAACTAATTGCATCCTTGTTTTCATCTTTTATATGGATCGAACTTGGTTTGGATTCGGGTAACATTGATGTAATCTTTCTCTAATGATTCTTTCTCGAAAAGAAAAATAAAAACTTAAAGTCTGAAGTATCATAAATACTGATTAATCTATGCAGTCAAGATTTATTAATTTTTCGTATAAATTAAAAAAAAATTAAACTTTGTCCAATACTTTCACTCACCAGAAGGCCATTTAGTATTGTTCTGTTTTCTCTTTATGACTATCAAAATAAAATTGTTGAGCATGCATTCCTATTTTGAAATTGAGCATCAATCTGCTAAAACAGATCATGCCTCCCTGAAAGCTTAGAGGAACTTGATGGAGTTGGATACATGAGAGGAGTTTTAGCCTTTATAAGGAAGGAAATTCGGTTTAAATAGATTTAGAATCCACCTTAAAACAAGTAAATCACAAGAGAATACAAGAAACAAAAAGTAGTATGTTACTATATTCTGCATAACTATATACCGATTAATCACCACCATCCATGAACAGCTTCTGTGTAGGTGTTCTTGATCCACCTTAAACTCTTCCTGAGTGAGCCTTTCATTTTTCCTTCCACAGAATATATTTTATAGCCAGCCACTCTCTTCTTCCTCTGCAACTCAGGATCATTGAAGCTCCAACTTTTTGATACTTTATTAGCTATGTTTTTCCCTTTATCCACCTTCACTTCCTTTTCCTTACCTATCTTGCATGGATATGCAGAAGCACCATAACTTGCACTGTAACTGTAAGACCTCAGATCTTGCATACCTGTTGGGGCCACCCTTCCTCCATTGTAGTTTTCAATCTGCAGACTCTCACTCCTGCATGATTTGGATCTGAATTCCATGGTGAAAACCACACTGCACAAACACAAGAGTGAAGAACTAAGGATGTGTAGTTTTAAGGAGAGAAAGAACGAAGCTAAAAGAGATGGTAGGTTGGTCGGTTGGTTGGTTTTGCTTTTTTCTAGTTGTATTATATCAGTGCTGTTCATTGCTTCTCTTTCCCAACTTCATATAATCAAATCTTTGAACAGGAGACAGATGAAAAAGATAATGTTATTCTTTGTTTTGTCGTTTTTATTAATGGAGTCTGTGGGGGCATTCAACATGGCATAACTGTTTAAGGTATTCTTGTTTGACCAACTCTTACACGTGTAAGTGATAAAACTGGTTATGCCCTTTTCCCAAAATACTAGTTAATGCACCGCCCTCTTAGCTAAAGTTGTGAACTTGCAAAAGCACATTAACTTCTTATAGTTCTTTGGGTTACTAATGATTTCTGCAAAAGTACTAATTGAGAAGTTAGTTAGACGAAGAACTGAACTTTACTACTTCAAAAGATTACCACAGTGGTTCACTGAAAGATACAACATAAGTGATATCTGAATCTAACTACATAAAAGATTGACACTGTCCTTTATCCAAAATCTTAAGATAATGAATTAATGAATCTTCAATCGACACTCTACTTTCTCTTTTCTATCCGATATAAAACTTAGACTCACTTAAAATTCTAACGGAACCTACTTCCTCCACTTTTAAGTTCTTTAACTGATTATGTTACTTAAGATCAAGATTCTACATTTACAGTAATGGCTTTTGAATCTGGTGTTATGCACATAAGTGGATAAAAGACATAAGTAATGAAGAGATTAGACATTCATGTGTATATAAAGTGAATGTGTGACAGAGGAGGCTCCCCATTCCTGTTATATATTTTACAAAATCCCCAAGACCAAGCAAACCACTCTGATTTTTTTAGTCAATTGTGGTCCACACTCCACATCTTAAATAGTATCTTAAAATCTAATGAATCATCCCACATGTTTCTGTCTTTGACATCACCAATCTGGGTGACAATTTCAAGTACTTATTATATATATATATATATAAACAGAAAGCTTGAAATTATTGGCAAAAGGCATGGAAAGTGTTTTCAAGTGTAGTTATTTACATCTAACGAGAAAAATGACTTTAATATGGTTCATTAATGTAGCTACCTGCCAAAATGAAACTATTGTATCAACCAAAGGAAATTCGTACAAGAAACTAACAGATTTCATAGTCTTCTGTTCTTCTGGTAGCACCAAGTGACTAATTTCAATACCAGAAGTTTCTTCTTTCTCTTGAGTTGATTTTAGAGTTCTGTACCAAACTTCATCTTAAAGCTTTGGTGGAAAGTGCATAGTATTATTCGTTATTAGTATTTATCAGTGGCAGTACCTACCATTGAAACAATCCTTTTCATACTAACTGATACGATATTATTCTCGTGCTGTCATTTTCTTAACCTTACTTCAATAATTCAGCACTGAAAGTAATGTTTGAATTGTATAGATTCTGAGTAAATATATCTTTTTATCATTGGCGTGAGCATTTTTTAAAAATAAAAATTTGGGAACATATTCCAATTCTCTTGTGCAGTGTTTGGTTCACATCTGAAACGTACGTTAAGAAATCATGTTTAAGCAGTTTTAAAGCTACTTCCAGTACTTTCAAACGAATGGAAAGAAGGGTTTGCAATTTTTGGAGAAACTTGGTCACAACACATAAAAGAATTATTTATTAAAATATAATAAAATATGCAATGTACTGTGTAATATAATAAAAGAAATAAAAAAAACCAACTATCTAAGAAAAAATTTAATAAAATTTAATGCATTTTGTCTTGATAGAATATGAATAAGATCAAATCAAATTAAAAATTTACAATTATTGATTTTTTAAAACAAATAACCAACAAATATTACATAAAGAAATTATAATTCACGTCTCTGAATATGTAAGCATTATTTATTTCCAACAGAAGAAAGAATTAAAAAAGAACATAATATGATCTACAACAGTTAAAAGATCATATACCTTTCATCTATATTATTTATAATTTTATAATTGTCAATCCAAATAGCTTTCATATTCTGTTATATAAGGTATTGGAGATTGTTGAATTAATGAAAGGTTTATTCGCTTATTTGTTATTAATCTGTTTTAGTTCATAATCTAACATGCCACACAATTATAAATGTGTTTAATTTTCAAGACTGTCTATTAAATATAGTTAACAGAAATCTGATTTAAAAGTTGCATGCTCAAAAGATTTGCAACGGAAACAAACAGTGCAGCAAAAAAAGAAATACAGATAAGACAATAAAGTAAATGCAGGCTTCAAACAACAACCTGCTAATTAATTGATTGATTAAACAAAATTTATAGAATCCAATACAAATAGCATCAGATCATATGTCTTTGATCTCTAATGTGGATAAAATATATAAAGAGAGAGAGAGAGAGAGAGAGAGAATGAGCACAAGATAACAATAGAAAGAGGCCTGATGACTTAATAGAGAACAAAAATTAAGTCATCAGAGCAAATCAGCAACATTTGATGGCAGCTCCTCTACAGTCACATTGTAGAACTTCTGAATATCAGACAGCATTCTGGAATCATCAGTTGTGACAAAGTTTATAGCAACTCCTTTTCTTCCAAATCGGCCACTACGGCCTATGCGGTGGAGATAGTTTTCAGGCTGGGTTGGCAGATCATAGTTTATGACCAGAGACACTTGTTGCACATCTATGCCACGGGCCAGAAGGTCGGTGGTAATGAGAACTCGAGACGAGCCGGACCGGAATTCACGCATGATGATGTCACGCGTGTTTTGGTCCATGTCACCATGGGTGGCAGAGACCGTGTGGTCATTGCTTCGCATCTTATCAGTGAGCCAGTCGACCTTGCGCCTGGTGTTCACAAAAATGACACTTTGGGTGATAGCCAGAGTCTCATAAAGGTCGCATAATGTCTCCAGTTTCCATTCTTCCTTGTCAACATTGACATAAAACTGTTTGATACCCTCCAGGGTCAGTTCATCGCGCTTTACCAAGATTCTCACTGGCTTATTCATGAACTTCCTTGTAATCTCAAGGGCTTCTGGTGGCATTGTAGCAGAGAAAACCCCAACCTGAATTTTGGATGGCAGCAGCTGGAAGATGTCATAGATCTGCAACACCAACCAACATATTCTCAATGTCATGAATGAAAATACACAAACTTTTACCTTTCTCACGGATACGAATTTTGATTGAAGAACAGAAAATTCCTCTGTCCAGTCCAGATAAACAATTATTGTATTTTGTCTCATAACCCTCCCCATCTATGTCATGCATTCAAATTAAGCTAGATTGGAGGTAATTAATAAGTGCAATATACCATATTATAGATTCCTATAGAAGATAATGAGCATAGGCCTTCGCTGCATAAAAGTTTTGGAGAGTAATTTATCTATTTGTGCTTTATAAACATATGGGAATTCACACCTCAAACTTCCAGGATATTTACCAACAAAAGAAATAAGATAATCAACAAGTACATGAGAACCAAGTTTGGTGTATTAATTAAATTGTGGAAACTAGTCAGAACAAAAACCTGATCCTTGAAACCTCGTGAAAGCATTTCATCAGCCTCATCCAAAACAAACATCTTTATGCAATCTGGGCGGAGAGACTGCCTCCGCAGCATGTCAAACACACGGCCAGGAGTGCCAACAACAGTGTGAACACCAGCTTGGAGAATGCGCTGATCCTCACGGACACTTGTGCCACCAACACATGCATGAACCTTAACACCCAGGTAATCACCAAGAGCCCGCATAACTTTTTCAATCTGCTGTGCTAGCTCCCTTGTTGGTGCCAAAACCAAAGCTTGGCACTGAACCAATCCATAATCAAGCTGCTGCAAAATTCCAGAACAGAATGTTGCTGTCTTTCCTGTTCCAGATTGAGCCTGCTGAATCACATCCAGACCCTTGCAGAAAGGAACAATCCCCCTTTGCTGTATTGCAGAAGGCCTCTCAAAACCTTAAGAACAATAATAAAACACCAACACATCATTTTGTTATAACAGAAGCAAGAGTAACAATAATACTTTTAGAATTACATCATTAATATCCTCACGAAATATCTAATCATTTTCAAAACAATTAAAATCTCAAGATTACATTCATTTACCTTGTACCCACTTTGTTTTGTTGTTTTCCAATAAGTACATTAGGTAAATTTAAAACACAAAAACTGCAGTCATAAATATGTAACAAAAGAGGTTTATGCTAATTTAACATGTACACTCTGAAGCATGTTAAAGTATAACCACTCCCAATCCTTGATCATTGGTAATAAAAACACAACAATAAATTTAAATGACTTTAATGAAACAACATATAACATCAATCAATCTGCCACAAATTAATTTATTTATCCGTTTAATTGAATGCTAAAGAGTCTCAAAGAGCATTTGGCAAACTAACAAATATGAATAAGCACTTAGACTAAGAGGGTGAATCTGCCAGTAGATACCATAAGCATATATGCCTCGCAGAAGATTTTCTTGCAATCCCATTGCATCAAAGCTGTCGTAGACTTCATCATAAGAGGTAAAGAATTCTTGCCCATCAGTGGAAAGCCTGTGTATTTAATTTGCAAGACAATTAACAGAAATAGTACATTAATAATTAATTAATAAATAACAAAAGCATTACAATACAAGTGAAGAGTACAGTACAGGAACTTACAATTCAGTCATCTTAGCGTCATATTGGCGACCATCAAATTGTGTTCCTTCTGGAGCCAAACCTGCCATAACTGGAAAAAGCGAAACCTCTGTCAAAAAGGAAGACCATACACTCAACTAATAAGACGAAACTGAAACAAATAACAAACGAATAGTTGCAAAACAATACAAGAACCAAATAATCATACAAATAACTAACCCACCAATGCCTCCACTAGGAGTTTCTACTGGACATGGATAAAAAAAAAGACATCATCCACTGGACATATTTAACAGATGAGCCAAACTTGAAATACACACAGGAGGAAGAAGTGCAAGCATTAAACTTCTGTTTGTCTCTGATGTCAGGAGATTCACAAGGGAAAAAAGGATACATATCATACCCAAAAAACAGATCTTTCAGTGTCAAATATCAACTTTTCCCACTCCTCCATGATTCAGTTTAACAGTGCCAAAATCAAACTTAAACTAAACAACAAAAACAAAATGATCATTGAAAACTTAAGTT